TGCGCGGGGCGGCCCCGACAGGCGCCTCAACACCCGCTGCACCCGCACTTGGGGAGGGAACTTTTCCCTAATGCTGGATTTTTTTCTCCCTTCTTTTCAAACCTTCTGCCCTCAAGACGTGATGTAGACATATCACCTCGATTACTGTAACTATCTGCAAGCCGGAGTGTAATATTTGTCTATCTATTTTGATAGGAACGGTGGTGGCGAAAAAAAAAAAAAAAATACCGAGCCTGAAATTATACTTCGTCTTTTCCTTTAACCCCTCCTCATTCATCCAGCCGCTCCCCCACCCCCTCCATACACAAACCTACTCAATTTATAGCAAAGCCTTTAAAATCCAGAACAGTTTCCAGAAGAAGGGAGGACTCCGGATGAAATCCACCCCCCCGCGCACACAAACACACGCGCGCTTCGCCCTTCCGCCCCCACCCCGCTCTCACGACGGCAAATTAAATAGTTAAAGGCTTCGATTTCTCTCTCTCTCCCTTTTGTTACCCAATTTTGGAACATTTAAGGATGGGTGTGTGTATTGTATTCAATAATAAAAGCTATAGGGCCGCCAGGACATTTATCATCCTATTACTGTAACAAATCCGGGCTCCCAATACATGAAAGGTAAAATGAATTACCGACGTTAAGCCGTCAATAAAGTCATTTCTGTAAATGGTGTCTCCGAAGGACTGCAGCATTATTCAACTAGCTTTATCAGCAGCTGGGAAATTACGTGAAGAAGCTCGCAGCGTGTAATATGGCCCTGCTTACTTTGATTAAGCGTCTTGCCAGGGAATAGTGACAGTGCTTTTGACCAGGTTTTATTCGCCGTCCTGTGATGAACGCCAAGCTGATCAGGCGGAATGAAGAGTAATTAAAACCTATAAATTATCTTTTGCAGCCCTTCTCAAGGCGTCTCTTGCAGAAGAGATAAGGCAGCGAGCCCCCATTTACAGCGCTGAAAGGGACCGCGGCTCACAAAGGCTACGTGGCTAAATGGGATATTGATAGTGTCCTAATTAGAATTTAATTAAGTACCCACGCTCGCTTTTGGGATAAAGATTTCAATTTTGCTAACTTAAATATAAATAAACCCAATTTCGGTGCGGGTAAATTATATGATATTGTGAATGCGGGAGGGGGGGGCTTGATATGTAACATTCATTTAATTGCGGATGAAGCTCTTGATTCCAGCGCTGATTGTGTTATATTGGCTATTATTTTAGAAGATTATTGTGTGGCTGAAGGTAACAATTTGGTAACGTTTCCCCTGTCCAGAAAAGAGCCGCGGGTGCCTGGGAGGCGCGTGTGCGTGTGCGGGCACCCGGCGCGCGGCCGCCTCCTTCCCGGGCACCAGGGAAGCAATAAAACTCCGCCGAGATCCGAGCGAGGACCGAGAAACTGCAGTCAGTGTCTACATGGCAATTCCCCCGCTAAACGAGAGGGATTTATTAGTATTATTATTATTATTGTTATTGGTGTGCAGACGCCCATGAGCAGCGAGCAGGGCCGCGGCTGCGCGTGGCCCCGCGGGACGGCCCCACTCGGGGTGCAGGGCTCGGCGGGGAGACCCTGAGGTCCCCAATTACGTCAAGAGGAAAAAAAAATAAAAATAATAAAAAAAAAAGGAAAGACCCTCTGCGCGGCCGCGGGAAGGCGCGGGGGGCCTCGGCGGAGGCTGCGCGGCAGCAGGTGGGGGTTGCGCCTGGACACCCGCTGCCTCTGCAAAAAGCGAGGGGCAGCAGCGGCCCCCACACCAGGCCCACGTCCCCCGCGTCCGACACCCCCATATTTGCGCATCCCCTTGCCAGGCGCAAGGAGCCGAGCGCGCAGCGGCTCTGAAGTATCCAGGCCGCGGGAGACACAGGCAGCGCCTGGCGATGACTTCGCCTGTCCCTTCCCGCGGGCCTCCGCGCAGGGCGCTCAAACCAGCGCGGAAGCAGAGGTTGAATTTTTCGTCAATTAATTTTTAGAAAGCTGGAAAAAAAAAAGCCTCGTTTTCCTCGTCCTATAAAAAATTTCAATTTCGCTTCTGCCTCAACACACGGCCTGAGGTGTTCGCTCTGTGCTGTGAGGAAAAAAAAATACAGGCCAGGGAAAAGCAAAATAAAGAAAGCCCCAAAATGAAACAACACAAACAAATAATCAAACAGACGAAACAACAGCACCAACAGCAAAAGCGACACGCTACGAAATCATCTGTAAACTGGCGTTTGATCTGCTTCATACTCCGAAAAAAAAGAAAAGGCAAAACAAACCAAAACAGAATAAAGCAGAACAGCAGTCACAACTTTAAACCCAACTCACCCTCGCAGTAGCTCCTGCGACTACATATAGATAGATAGATTCGTTTTTATTCTTCCACCAAAGTTTCAATCCGTAGGAACCCCCCTCGCGCACACAGACACCCGCCTCGGACACGCGCGGCCGCCCCTTCCCTCCCGAGCCAGCGCGGCCGCGCAGGGACCGCGCCCGGAGGGGTCTGCGGAGAGAGCGGCTCTGGGGGATTGTTCTGGGGGGAGACAGGCAGGGAGGAAGAGGGGGAGGAAGGCAGGAAAGAGGCTGGGGCTGCCGCTGCTCCGGC